TTTACTGCCAGCAGTTACTCATGGAATTTAGGGTATCCGTATGTGTTCCCTAGCATGCGGTCATCTGAATGGTCAGGCACACACCCGCGCCATTCTCCCCATCGAGTTGCGCTGACCCTTGCATACGTTGCTACCGATTCGAACCGAGTTGCAAAGCGAGCCTGGTGTATGGTTGTCATTTTGTCATAGTTTGGACATACGCTATCTGAATACGCTCTCTTGGAGCAGCAATTTTGCTGTCGGTTCGTCGCCTTATGCGCTTCGTCATACATGTGACCTCATCGCTTCAACAGTATCAGTTTCATGATACCAAAGCCAACGCCCTCGTTTGTAAACATGGAAACAGAAATCCATATCGCCACTGTTGTTTTCTACCGTATTTGACAATGTCCAGCACAGAGTACTCCACACCGCCTAGTTGGAAGGGATGCCAATCTTGTTCTACTCTAGTCAGCGGCGATAATGGTCTCAGCTGTTGAACAACAGTAGAAAACGCTCTTTTGCAAGTTTCCAATAGCTAGGTTAAGCACAAATCTTGTGGCTAACGTGGGAACAAGAACATATAACCGCATCGTCACCGAGAAGAAAAATCGGTTGACTTGCTGTGTTTCATCTTCAGCTTTGCATGCTATCCTTCGTGAAGACATGGTTCAGGGCAAAAGCGATTGCGTTCAATTCAGATTTGAATTCAGCACCTGAACTTACTATGATGTATGTCACTTCAATTGGAAGAAGACCGCTAGTAATTGCACTCCAAGGAAAGAATCAGGGAAAGTCGTTGCACTCCAAAGAAAGCCTTTGAAAACTGCAAGCTACAAAAGCCTCCAGTGACGCGTTTCCACCGAAATCAGAGAAACATCCACGGAACTGGATAACAATACTATTTACAAATGAGTAGATGGCCATGTATAATAAATATATCAACAATTCTGCTTCCACTCATAACAGTTACAATGAAAAGAGTTTCAGTCCGGTTCTTCAGTGTGTCCACTGTAGGAAGTCACGGCACTAATTTGCCTACTGCGTGTATTGGACAGAACAAACAGTGGGATTGATGGATCACGCAGGTGAGAATGCGCGCTGGATAAGCCCACAGTGGATTTGGATTTGGTTTGTTTGGAGCGTTCATCAAGTGAGTCACAGATGCACCTACTCAAAGGAAGGAATGGTCAGGAAGGCATAATCGGTGGGGCAAAAGGTCAACAGAGAGGCATAGTCGGTGGGGTGCAAAGGTCATCAAACGACCCTAATAGGTGCGAAGCATGGTGTTGACAGCTGGGCGAGAAAGCTGATCGCCAACGCTCGCGCGTTTGCCACCAATCGTGCTTAGGAAACACCTTGCGAGCGTGTTATCAGAGTCCAGCCGAAAGCTGATGAAATCGCGCATCAGACATCACGTGCGTTGCCATGTACCTGGTAGGCGCACGAAGACTGGAGTGCCCGAGCAAGATGATGAACTGGACAGATGGAGCATGTGTGGAGCGTGGGCTTATAGCCAAATCCGCCTGGTGATACCGACATATAAATATGAGCGTTCTCTGCCCTAGTAGAACTTTGGTCTGCTGAGTCGTCTTCTGTCTTCCTTCCGATCGGGTTTGCCAAGGCGTCAAACAGAGCACGCGTAAGGGCGCAGATTTAGCAGCAGGCGTTAATCAACCGGTCGATTGCGGGCGCAGCGTTACAACGGTGGCGACAAGAGTTCAATAGAACCCGGAATGGCAGTCAGTTTTGAACAATTGCAGGCACTTTTGCAGGAGCAGCACACGCAGTTCGAAAAGTCACAGAGGTAGTTAATGGAAATGCTATCACAAAAATTAAATATTCAAGTAGAATGAGAACTGGAACTGAAGCTGACATCGCAAGAAATTGTTTCAGAATGTCAGAGGTTTCTCAAATTGAATTGTGTTACAAATGTGGTCGCAAATTCGGAAGCTATGGAGGAGCAACACTTCTGCCACACTGCCACTTCAAAATCTGATGTGCCCATCAGACTTAAGAATGCGACGATAGAAATCAATGGCAGTCACATTACACAGGTGAATAGACGCCACGAAGCAATGCTGCAACCTGGTCCAGAATGCTGCAGAATCATCAGTGTTGCCCTGAACCTCAAGCCAGCCACTAAACCAGTATCCAGAGCAAAACTCCTTGTGCCAAGCAGGAAGGAAAAGCATTGCAATTGTTATGCGGGAAAAAACCGGACAGACAGGATGCGTCATTTCAGAATTGGTGACAGGGGTTACGCGCTAGAGTACCGAGGACCGGAGATGTGGTCGACAGGAAGGGTGATCCACAGAAATGGTGGAGTCAATTACGAACTAAGGGTTAGAAACAAGAAATGGATCAGGCACGTAGATCAGCGGAGACCGAAGCATGGAAAAACACAAGGGCCCACAGACAACATATATCGAAGAGCGGCCAGAAGGAGAAGAAAACCACCAACGCAACTGATTGATGTCAAAACAAAGAAAGCTGAATTAAGGCACGTATGCATGCTGAGGCTGATGTTGCATTCTTGATGCTTCTTCACGGCAGTTGGGCTAAACCAACTTACACTTAAACTAGGTCTTTTTAAGATGGCTAAATTTCATTCCTCTTTATTTGGTTTGTTCTGCCTACCTGTATACTCTTCTATTAACTGGCCACGTTGCTTACATTAATTGCGCTTATCTTCGGTAACTTTTTTGCGTTGTGTAGCATTTTTAACTAACTTGTGGACATTTTTTCCTTATCGCGGATTCGTTGCTAACCAACTTACTTCATATGCTAATTTAGCGAAGTTATGCCACCGTACCTGTATGCATTATTGAATTTGTTTTATTTCACGTTGTCGTTCCAGGTGATTGGCTGTTGCTTGATATCCCCGGTGTGGCGGCGCTCGATGTGCATGTTGACAAGGTGCCTACCTGTCTATTACCCACTACCTCGTCCATACTGGCTCCAGGAGACAGTTGGTCGTTGCTGGAGGGGACGGGGCGCACGTTCCTTGTGGCCGTGCTAGGCTCGAAGAGTGGTTCCATGCACTCAGTGTGGAGCGGAGTACGGTGCAGCCACCGTCTTGTGTGCGCTTGATTTCCCAAATACAGCGTGCTTGTGTTTGTCTGTGAAGGAGTGTGGGCCGGCTCCGTTGATGAAATGTGGCTCCTATCCACATGCCTCCCCGACTTAATCCTTCGGGTTTACACTGGATATGGGATGTGTGGTTGGAGCTGTGGGTGGTGCAGCGCAAGCCACCTGTGGTCCCTCTGTATGCGCAGGCGTCCTGTGGCTGGCCACAGTGACAGGCAAATCCGAAACCGAATGCCGCCAACCATGCATGGTGGGGAAGCAGCTTCAATTCGGAGGAGGTGTCACGATGGCAAAACAGCTGACTACGATGGTGCACGCTAGCGGGGCGAGATTGGCCGGACCACGTGAGCGGCTGACACGCTCGTTGTCATGGTCAAACCGGAAGCTGAGGAAACCACTGTCATCGCCGCACGGGTTGTTATGGACGTGGTCCTACCTACAGTCAGATAGTGATGGCCGCTACCAGAGTCGAACCTGTTCAGACAAGAGGTGTGACTCACCTCATTGATAGCGGCGACGTAAGCGCATGTGACCTATAAAAGTAGCCATGTTCTGTGCCTAAGATACTTCGGTCTAGCAGTCTAGGCGTTTCGTTTTTTCCCGCCTGGTTGGCAGCGCAGAGAGATAGAGAGGAAGGGCAGCGTCCCAACACAATTATAGACCCAATTTGGGATCGTGAAAATTCTAGGTCATAGGGATTTAAGTGAATGTATGACGGAACGAGTTGGTGTTTGGGTTTCATGGCAAAATAAGGAGTTATAGTCGAAATGTTTGGTAAGGAAACGGAAGAAAGCAGGAGAGTTGTGATCGCGACCTCCGAATATTCTCTACACATGGTACTCTACTTTTAGCCCGCTACCGCCTCGGGGACCGTGTATCGCCACTTTGTCAGCAACTATTCGCAGTCTCCAGAAGCAAGTAATCGATGTGGATTCGGTTAGACAGTAAGGCACCCTGTCATCATCATCATCCTCATCATTACACGTTAGCTGGAGGTGGAAAACACCTCAGATATTGTGCCGCAATACAAAAGACAAGAAAAGAAAAAACAAACACCCTGTCAACATTCACATCAAAGGCCGCCACACCTGGGACATCAGTTATCAGCCAACAACTGAAATGCAGTGAACCCAATGTTGTGTCTACACGTACACTAGTCCCCTGCACGCAGGGTCTTGAACAAGCACGACCAAAGCCCCGAACGAGGAAGCAGAACTCTACTGGTACGCAACACAAACTTCTATTCACGCCAACGGTACATACACTCAGTACATTCAAAACAACCCTGGTATTGTTCGCGAACGGACGGGCATCCAATCACAAGCTACGAAGTGCGGTCGTGGTAAGGCCCGCGCGTACGCGCTGCCACACCCAACAAGCACGCACGTACCACAACGGCTGCCCTAGTGGTCTGGGCATATGTATTAACCATTGCTGAGATTATGATGATCACACGCTTAGCTTATCCGCCTTCGCTTAGGTGCCGGCCTCATGTAACCCCGGGATAATTTACGTGGCCAAATTGTCTGTGGCGCTTGCAACAGCATGTGCTACATCACCATATGCTTGACGTTTAGGGGTTAGAATACATAGTTGCCTGTTGATTTATCAACTAATGTTTCTCTTCAGCATAAAATAACACTCCCTCTAGCACCAGAAAAACCGCTCCTGTGTTACGTTCACCACATTGGCAGCGATTAAATGTTTTTGATACTCAAGTTAAATCAAAACAGGTTTGTCATAAACTCAACTGGATCACGTACTGACGGAAGATGTGTCATAAGCACAACGCCAAACACAGTACCGAAAATTCGACGCAGAGCAACCACCACAAGCCGCAGGCGCGAAAAGCAGACTGCGAGGGACGCCAGGCTCGGTGCAAGTACAAACCAGCGCCCACGAGTTACAAGGCAAGTTCAAAATATGGCTAGGGGAAAGCATATACATATTCTTATACAAACAGATATATATCGCGGAAATTCGATTAAATTGGATGTCATGCAAAATAAAATGATTTGCAAAAAGCTTTCGACCTTTTACAAAACAAATAATCCATTTTGCAAACCGAATTGGTCACGTTGCATTCCTTGAAAAAGCAGCAATTCGCTACAAAGGGAGGAGCAGCAAGGCAATTAGACTATGTTCAGCCTACATTGTAGTCATTCTAATGCTTCCGAATTATGTAAGTATCAAAGCCACTGTAAGCTATGCTCTTGTTCGCGAACCTCGATCATTCGATCAAATCCGGTGCATGAGTACCCCCTTCGTCCCAATCGGCCGTAAAGTAGCCTGTGCGTCCATTGCAAACACGCATGGGCCTGTGAAGATATGCGAATAATTGAAAGGCAGAATCCAGCATGGCGTAGTCGATTATCATTCAACCAAAAAGTCACCAAGCATTGGAGGGTTATTATCAAGCTTTCGTCTTGTGAATATATTGCGATACGCAATCTCAATTTAAACCGCCAAACTCAATGAAGTAAAACTTGGCTAATTCGATCACTGGAACCGTAACTGATGAAGATAGGCGGTGACTTAGTAGTCCTCTATTACTTTATCGGTATTCGCGCATTTTGTTAGCTGTGTAGGCGGACCTATGCAGCACGATAATTGGAAAATACTAGGCTGTTGTATGTCCACCAAAAACAGTTTAGCTTCATTTACCTACCGCTTCAGTTTGTTATCAAGGACAAAGGATTAAGGCGACTGGATGATGTTCGAGCGAAATTGTGGTCACGCGAATACGACAGAACTTTGCAAGCCGTGGGCGATTGTCGTTCGTCGCTCATTTTTGTTGTTTCGTTCGGCGCAAGGCTAATAAACCGATGCTGGGTTTGGCAGAGTCATGATATCCTACACCTTACCAGTAGTCAGGTAGCTGCATCAGTTTTCCCACACACCCAGAGAAAATACGCAAAAGCGCGCCGAGGGACAATGAATCCTGGGAACTGACGTTGATCGAAGTGAATGAGACCAATGCACAAAACAAGCGCTTGCACAATCGCCAACTGTTTGCACAGTTCTGTTGCATTCGCTTGACCACAATTTGGCGAGAATTTGTATACACCGTTTCCAGTTTGCTTGCATCTATATTGCAATTGAATTGTTAATCAAGGATCTAACTTGCATCCGCCAAGCAACGGAACTTGGTCGTTAAAGCATTTAGATTGCATCCAGTGTCTTTGCGACGCAATGTCCTTGGAATTGACCTAGCCTAAATCGGCCAATGTAGTGAGGTATAAGGACCCTTGCATGGGGTGGATGGTATGCAGAAGGGACGAGTGGGTATTCTAATCTCTATTCAATGACCGGTAGCTATGGGAATCTAGCTCCACACAGGCTAGGAGCACAGAGATGTCTAAACTCATATGGTGCGACTAGGTTGAGAGTGGAGTGGGCGTAAGTAGATTAACGTGGGTTTTACACGGCACAATTGGGAGTGGGGGGGGGGCAGCTAACGCGACAGTGCGACACAAAAATTAGTGATAGTAAAACTAGATTGGCACTGTGTTCGAGCCCACAATTTGCACAGCCTAAGAATTAAGATGACTAGCAAACGCTTAGGCTTGAAAGAAACATACAGTTGCACACGTTTGATGTGTCCGTTTATCAAGGCAGTCACAGATGTATGACTGCTAATGATCGGGACCAGTGGTGCCGAAGAGTTATAACGGGTTTGTGAGTCAACCGACAAACGGGACCTGTGTAACTTACAAGTGCGATACAGGTTGAAAGCTTGCCGCGGGTAAGAGAGACGTCCAGGGTGGCGCTCCGTTGGGAAGGCGAATGCCGAAGTTCGGCTGCAGCAATTTTGTTACAATGCGAGTAGGCACGGCTTTGTTACAGGAGGCCGCACTTACCGTCATGGTAGCAGCGGTACCTCGACTCGATAGTTCCTGAATCAAATGATAAACTTCGACAGGGCTGTCAGCAATTTGAATCGGCTGTTCAGTACGCACATGCATGAGTGGCTGGACGTCAATCGACTGGCGGTTTGCACACTGCGGACTGATGCAAATCTAAGGTAAGGGTAACTGGCACGCAACTCGGTACGCATTAACCGTATTCGTATACGGTACCTGTTAACGATGTGTTGAATATCCCGAAGGTGTAGAATGCTCGCACATGGGAAGCACTCCATCGTTGGTCGGTAGGTTTGTCTGCCTATTGCACCGCCCCACTTTGGGAATGGCACGTGTGCCAATGATCCAGACCACCTCGTCTCGAATGAAAGTACTTGATCAACACTCGATACAAAGAGCGTCTTGCTTTTTGCCTACGGTACATGATCCTACATTTCTTAATTTCCCAAGGTCGATTAGAGTTAATACCCTTCCTTACAGCCTGCGAACACGTATTCTACAATAGCAGGTGGCAGTGAAATTGTATCTGACGGGTAAACTAGGGAACGCTTAACATACCACTTAGGATAGTTTGAGAAAAGAGGAAAACATTAAATGAGAAACGTACAAGTAAAATAGAGTGTAAACTGTTGAATTTGTAGAAATATTTGCGTGAATAAAGTTATCGGTTTAGATGGTTTCAAATAACTGCCATAAAGATATAAGTTCTTCTTTGTCTATAGCCACTCATTTCGAATAACCTCTCGCAAAACTGAAAACATTGCATCTTCCTCCGGGTGGCGACTTATTTCATTCAGATGATCTTACGTCACAGCCACATGGTATACTAGGTATTCTTCTTCGCCCTCTTCTGTATTATAGTCAGTCATCGAGGGATTTTCTTGGAACATTTGACACCATGTGTAAATTTGTGCTTAAATGCAGTGCTGTTAATATGCGCACTGAGGCCAGGACATTGTTGAATAATCGGTCGCCACTGTCTGTTCGAATTGTTTGCACCCCAAAACCACATTCCAAGTTTTGTGCGTAGTCCGGAAGACCACCCACTAATTCATCCATGTAACCAGCAATAATCACAGTCTCAGTAGTTTCTGCTGACGATAGAATTCGTCCTTCATACGCTCCGAACTGCAGTCACTGGTGTATAAACAGAAGCATTGATAATGCACGGTATCTTCATGCGGTTGCTTTTTTATCGCAATAGGGTTTCGAATTCGAACAGCGCACCTACAGCTGTTCACTGGCATCCAGTCGAGTAAATTGCATTCTGCATGATTGCTGGGGGCGACACGAGCAACATAATGACATTGAGCTATTTATTTCGTGTCGCCAGAGTCTCTTAGTCCGTAACCCTTGTCAGCTGATTCGGAACCAGGAAGTGAAAGATTTGTCTCGACGCGGTTATCTTGTATAGATATTTCGGAGATACAGCACACACCAATACCGAGGGAGTGGATATAAAGAGAGTTAGTGCTGCTGTTGGCCGAACTGAAAAAGTGGGTGGACGTCAAATGAAGCATTGAGAAATGTGAACCTCAGTTTGCTAGTTCCCGTTACGTGGTCAGTGACAGTCCCTTTCTCAATAAACGGGGTAGAAGAGAGTGGTACGAGCAGAGAAGCAGTGTTGGCGACCGGATCGAGAGGTCAGATTATACTCTCCGGCTGTCCATTCTGGAAGAGGGTTGTTGGTTGAGGTGTCGTACCCCTAGCCTTTTTATTCAACAGTCTGACCCATAACGCTTTCAGGTATTGGGTGATCCACTTGAGTGGCTCCACCCAGAGACTTTGGCTCAACAACTTGAGCCACAATATAGTGGAGATCTGGTCTAACTGGAGAGCGTGCTTGTAGTGTCTCATTGGGAGCTGCTTGAGGCCTGTCAGATACAGCCTTTGAGGATCTATGCAACTCATGTGCGACCACAGCCAACCGCATGTGAGAATTGGCGGGTTTACACCTATTTCACCAGGAGCTGCCTGGATTGAAGCGGGAGGTAGCAAACCATTAAGCACCGCGTGGTGCACTCCCACGATCAGAGACAATGTGTGGCACTCGTGCTCTACATCAATCCAGCTGTGAGATACTCTAAAACCTGTTGTCGCCCGTGGCTGTTCTAAGGGAACAGGACCATGAACCTCTACCAACCCTCGAAGAGAATTGTGAGACGGAGTTAATCCGAGCCCAAACCATTGACACGTTTGGTATGAGCAGTCCTGATGGCACCGAGAAGGTGTCACCGAGAGAAGCTCAATAGGTCACGAAGATACGCAAACAATCGCAGCAAGATAAAGTCCAGTCACCTCGCGATGGGATTTGGCTCTCCGCTACATCGCTGTTGTATTATGTTGTAACAGTCTGAGACTTACCTAAGTTTACTAGAACAGTTTTCATTTATGTGACATACTACGATTTATTGATGATAACAATGCTTATTTCTCAAAAAGTTCACAATCCGTTCGACAGCTGTGCATCTGAAGGATGCAAATCTCGTAGGTAGGGTGACTACACGCGTGTAAGATACTCTGCATACGATACCACAGCTTCTATCCCTATAGGTTCGAAACACAGCCCTTACAGTTCTCTATCGTCGTACGTGACCGGCTTCACTGTTTCGGGATGACGGATTGTTCTGAGCAAACGGAAATGGGATTACAAGCTGGGTACCCTCAGGTAGAACAAGAAAAATTCAAGCAAGACAAACAAAACTGAAGCACGATGTCACTGATCTGGAGCAGACTCAACGTCAGATTTGCAAGTGCGTCATTGGAACGTTTAATTTGCCATATGAAAAGAGACGGAAGCACGGGTATTGATGATTACGTGACAATCTGATGATGCTTACATTGTTCTGAGTCAACCAAATCATGTACATTGCTATTTACTGCAGGTTAACAATGGCACCTAACTGAGATAATTCCTTGAAACTGGCAGAATAGTATGACTACTCCGAGTGTTGCGGAATTCCTTTTTCTGTTTGTGTGTGTCGCCCCTGCAACAACACCCCATTCGGTCTATTTCGCAACAACTGTAGTGTTAGCTATGTGAGCGTAAGAAGTCAGTTGTATTCTTCTTTGCTTCAGCAGATCCAAATTGCTATGAAAACGTGCAGGCACGTGAGATATTGCATTAACAGGCTTATAGAAGCATATTTTTATTGTCTTCGGTTTCAAACCTGAAGTAAACGGTTACCGTGACATTACGAGACAAAGTGCTGGAACTCGCTCGTGTGGCTGACATCATGCAGTTGTGCTAGGAAACAAGCCGGCAGCATTTTAGGAATTTATATATATATATATATATATATATATATATATATCTGGAAACGCGGCCATTTAAACCCCGTGCATGCCCGGCAGATGCCATCTATATGCCCCCTGTTATTTCTGCAATGTCTTCACATGACCAGATAAGCTCAGCGCCAATACAACAGCTATGTATCCTTGATACCTCAACCCTC